AAAGCAGGGGCCACAGTGATAATACAGGGATGAATGCTTATCTTGCACGCCACCGACCCTATTCAATTCCTGTCATCACAAGTACCAGGAGTGATCCCTGCTGAGCACAGAGCCAGGGGTAGAGCCCTGAGCACAGAGAAGGGCCCAAAACAAAAACAGACCCCAGAAAACAAAAAATTTAATAGTTCAATTATAAGTATCTCCAGAAAACCTTTTTTTTTTGGGGGGGGGGGAGGGAGGACATTTATCGCTAATCAATCTTAATCTGAGGCAGACAAGTTGAAAGTTGACAAAGATTCAAGGACACTTCAGCAAAACCTTTCAACCAATGAAAAATTTAAGTGGCACAGAGCTGGAAATGATCTCTGAGTAATACTAAGTGTGACCCCAAAACAAAAGAAGCAAAAAAGGGCTGGAGAGGCAGTAAAGGGGTTAAAGCGCTTGCCCTGAACAAAGCCTGTCTTGGCACCATGTATGACCCCTGAGCACCAGTAGGAGTAAGCCCTGAGTACTGCCAGGTGTAGTCCAAAAATCAAAATAAATCAACCAAAATGACCCAAATCCAATTCACACCATGTACACACATTATTTTTAAAAAGTGAAATTTAGCTCCAGAGAGACAGTATAGCAGATAAGCGGCTTGCCTTGCAAATGGCCAAGCTGGTACAATCCCCAGCACTTCACATAGTCCTCCGAGCCCTGCCAGGAGTGATCCCTGTGCACAGGGCTAGGTGGTCAAACAAACAAACAAGAATTAAAAGAAAAAGGAGATCCCATTCTATTGGGGCCTGAGCGATAGCAGAGCGTGTAGGGTGCTTGTCTTGTATGCTGTCAACTTGGGATTGATCCCTGGTGTCCCATGGTACCCCAAACCCTGCCAGGATCCCTGAGCACTGTTGGGTGTGACCCAACCCCCGCCTCACCCCAAAATGTGAAATTTATCAGGAGCTGAAAAAAATGGTAGAGCATCAAGGTGTTTGGTTGATCACCCGCACCCCCACAGCTGGAAGTGTACCCTCCAAAGAAAACAAAACCAAAGTGAATTGTATACAAACCAATAAGAAATTCAACTCTCCAAATGTCTAGACTTCTTCCTCAATAGTATCTATTAAATGGGTATGATACAGGCTGGTTTTTGAACATTCTATCCCCCCAAATATAAATTAAAAGAGGATAATGACATGATTAGGTAACACAAAACAGGAAAAGTTCATTTCAACTATGAAGAAATCAATTAACCCTATTAATCTAAAAGCAGTTAGGCTTCCAAGGCTTTATTTACATACTTTGTTGAATTCACCCACATAACAGAAATACAGGTCTTCAAAGGATTGCTTCAATTTTAATTTTTCACAGTACTTTCTACTATCTAAAAGTTATATAAGACGGGGCAGGAGCAACAGTACAGCAGCTATGGCACTTGCCTTGTACATAACAGACCTGGATTCAATGCGACGCTTATAGTCCCCAGAGCGAGCCCATATATTCCCCCAGCCAGGAGTGATCTCTGAGCGTAGAGCCAGGAGTAAGTCTTGAGCACTGCTGTGTATCACTCAATAAAACTCAAAACCCAAACCAAACAAAACCAAAAAGTTATGTAAAGCAGCTTTTCCCTTTGGACTACCTTCTCTGTATCACACTGTATTTTCTCCAATGCTCTTCCAATGTCTAGTGATCTTCTCATTTTAGAGTAATTAATGAGAACGATACTAGTATATTTTCTGGTGCCCATTCCATCTTTATTACATACAAACTTCTCAAGCAAGCTATTTATACAGAACTGGGAACAGGGTGGGGGAGCCGGACGGGATAACAGATCTGATAAATCAGTTTTATGAATTATTAAACACTAAACAGAAAATGACATTAAAGGGTCCCATTAAAATTCAAAACAGTAGGCAGCTGGAGAGACAGTATAGTGTGCAAGGCAGATGCAAATCACTCAGGTTCAATTCTTGGCATCCTGTATGGTCACCATGCACCCCCAAAAGTGATACCAGAGCACTGCTGAGTGTGGTCCCACACCAACAAACTCAGAAGAGCAGAAAGGGAGGGGCACTAGCCAGAGTGTCCAACAGGAAATACTTTCCCATGGTAAAAGGCCCCTTAACTAACATCCATCTCTGCTTCCCTAGGTCCACCTTTCATGGATCTGCCCTACAGTAAGAAATAAGGAATGATATGCAGGATGTGGCCTGCTAATGAAAAACTGTCTAGTAAACAAGAAGATCCTTTTAAAGTGTCGGGCTGGAAAGATGGTCGAGCAGGTAGGGTGCTTCTTTGTACGAGGCTAACCTGGGTTTGCATGTTCCCCTGAGCCCAGCCAGGAGTGATCCTTGACCACAGAAATAGGAGTAAGCTCGGAGCACCACTGGGTGTGATCCAAAATTTATTTAAAAAAAAAAAAAAAGTGTTACGCTTATGAACCAAAGAGATAGATAGCTCAAAGGGCTAGGCATGCAAGCCCAGGGTTTGACTTATTTTGCTCAGCCATCACTGCTGGCAGGGCTCTGGGGACCACATTCGGTGCCAGGGATCAAACCCAGGTTAGCTGTACACAAAGCAAGTGCCTTTCCCACTGGACTATCTCTCTGGCCCGAGGGTTTGATTTCTCGTACAACAGAGCTGCATGAACATCACTGGGAATGATCCCCAGACACCGAGGTGGAAGTAGTACCCCACGCACCACAAGCTGTGGCCCAAAATCCTCCGAAAGAATTAATCTGTTCACTATGTTTATATCGAGGCACAGACAGAAACTGCCAAGTACCTTAAGACCCTGGAGCCATGTTAATGCGAAAAGGACACTAAACCCACGAGAGAAGAAAGCAGCTGCAGAGGCGCATTCACTAAACACCTCAGTGCAGAGAGTCGAGACTAACTTCTGGGCAGATTTACAAATTAATGTAGAACACAGAGCTCTGAGGTACCCCCAGTTCAGAATTTTCAAAATTCAATACAAATAAAACAATGGACAGCAATTTGTACAGTGTGCAACAGTAAATGTGAAACAGCTCAACTTGAAATAGCAATGACGTAAGAGATTCCACAAGGAAAAGTCAAATTTAATAAATTCAGAAGTAGAAGCTATAATTGGAGACAGAGTGGAAATTCTGCTCCAGCTGACTGAGCTCTCTCTCCAGTGCCAGACAAGTTTTTTTTTTCTTTTTGTTTTTCATATGGGGGCCGCACCCAGAGGTACAGGTAGGCTGCAGGCATGCCATGCAGGGCTTTGCTTGAATTCTCTCTCTGACCTCCACCAGTTTTTGTAAGTGGAAAGTAATCTGTCAGATGTCCTCAAGGGGAAAACTCTGGTTTTCTTGTTTAAAAATCAGTGCAGGGTCACAGAGATGGTACATTAGGTTGGGAGCTTGCCTTGCACTAAGCCAACTTGAGAGTTCAATCCCTGGCACCACATATTGACCCTCGAGTAAGCCCTGAGCATAAACAGGTGGAGCCTGAAACCCAAAATAATAATAGTAGCACCGTCCTCCAGTTGATCATCAATTCGCTCGAGCGGGCACCAGTAGTGTCTCCTTTGTGAGACTTCTTGTTACGGTTTTTTGACATATCGAATACGTCATGGGTAGCTTGCCAGGCTTGCCATATGGGTGAGATCCTCTCAGTAGCTTGCCAGGCTCTCCGAGAGGAGCGAAGGAATCAAATCCGGGTCGTCTGCATGCAAGGCAAACACCCTACCCACTGTGCTGTAGCTCTAATCCAACAATAGTAATAATAATAATGATAATAATAATAAAAAAACCAGTGAAGACTCCAGAGAGATAACTCAGTATGCATGCTTTGCAAAGTGAAATTTCTACCTTCAAAACTTTAATCTGTACTAGACAGTCAAGCCTCTGAATCACAAAGAAAATCTCCAGCATCGGAAGCAATGACAAACTGAAAAAAAGTCTCTTTTCTCCTAGTATGATTTGTGACTCCTTAATACTGTTCAGGTTGCCAAGAATCAAAGTCAATCTGATATTATACCAGAGTTTCAAAATGCTCAGATAATTAATTGCATTAGCTCTATTTTCTTTTCTTTGAGGTTGATTATCCTACAATAACCTTAATTGCATACAGTCATCTCTAAAGCTACCTAGAATGATTTTTCATTTGTGGGGGTGGGAAGGAGGGGATTTCAGCCACACTTGGCTATGCTCAGGGAAGCATATGTAGTGTTGGTGACTGAACAGAGGTCGGCTGTACTATCTCTCTGGACTACATTTAAGGTGATTTTTAACCTTGAGGAGGAGTGAAAAATCTTGGTTCAGCAACTGTTTTCTATTGTGCCTCAGTTTCCTCAATCAAATCAGGCAAACTAAAGGTGATAACAAGAGGCATCTCCATCCAATCATTATTTCGAGGAACAAAACAGAGGTAACAGAAATGAAGCTGTTTTTGAGAGAGCTCTCTTGGTAACCTGGAGAACACATTTCCTTCCACCTCTCCCAAGACAGCAAGAATGCAATGCCCTGGGGCTAGAGGGATAATAGAGGGATTAAGGCCTTACATGTGGCCAACCTGAGTTTGATCTCTGATCTCTGGAACCACGTGGTACCATAAGCCTCAACTGGCGCAGCCCTGGAGGTCCCCAGCATCATCAGAGTAATCTGAGTAATTCACAGTGCTATCCCCCAAATAAAAATTGCCATGCGCTGCCCTAGTATCAGCTCTACAGGGCAGATTCCTCCCCGGTCCACAATGACCATTTCAAAGAGACAGCTTAGCTTTGTAAAATCAAACCAAAGGCTTTACACTAGCAATAAAGATTTGATACGCTGCCAACAGATTCATTATGGAAAAAGCAGGAAGTGAACTCCTGTCAAAATCCCAAACTAGATAATAATAGGAGTCTTCAAGTACATTTGTGGGTAATATCAGAGGTCAATCCAATTTATAACTTCTAATGTAAATTTATAATTTCTAATGCAAAACAAAAGCTGTGATCCAAAAACTGTATAGTGGTGGGGGAAAAAAAACATGGAAGAAACAAATACCTTTGCTCCTTTGACAATCTTCAGGGAGGTCCATGCATAAACGTTCTTCACTTGACTGCATCAGGAGGCCCTCCTGCAGTTAAAAAAGAAAATCCAGCAGTCAGGAATGATTGATACCAGACTCATGAAGACCCACTTTCCTCTGTGATACTTCATGATCCCTGCAAATCTAAGCAGTCACAAAAACTGGGAAGGCGAGAACATAAAATTTAAGTAAAATCCAGCTTGAGGCCAAAGAGAAGCACAGCAAGTAGGGAGCTTTCCTTGCATGCACCCACAAAGGTTCCATCCCTGGCACCCCATATGATCTCCCAAGACCCACAAGGGTTCCATCTCCGGAGTGAGCCCTGAGAGTTGAACCAGGACCAAACTCTGAGCACTGTGAGTATGGCCTGAAAGTTAAATAAACACTAAGCAGCAGATTAAAATAAAACTCTATTTACTATGAATACTTTCCAAATAAGAAACATTTGCTGCAATGTAATATTAATTTCAACTAGAGGTAAAAATCAGCCATTGGACATATCTTAGTCCCTAACCTGTCCATCACATACTGCCAGCTTTTTGAAAACACACAATTTTTTCAAAACTCCTAGAAAAAACGTTTTTCTCTTTCTTTTAATTTTCTCTTCTTTCATCAGAGAAAGGGATGAGGGGAAATCCATGAGACCATTACTTTAGGGGCCAGAAAGCCAATAGAGGGCAAGGCACTTGGGGCTGGAGACTTAGTATAGTGGGTAGGGCGCCATGACTTGCATTCAGCAGACCTGGAGTCAATGCCCATGATACTCCAGCAATGTCAGGAATAATTCACAAGGATAGAGCCAGGAAAACCCTGAGCATCTCAGGGTGTGACTCAACCCAAAACAACAAATAAAACCCAAAACAAACAGAAGGGTAAAGCACTTGCCTTGCAGGAAACTAGCTCCACTTTGATCCCCGGCACTGCCAGGTATGACCTCTAAGCAGAGCCAGAGTACCTCCTGAGCACCATGGGTGTGACCCCCAAACAACAGCAGCAGAAACAAAACCTAAATAAACATAACCAGTTTCCTCCCGCAGAAAAAAATAAGATGGAGAGGCCAGAGGATAGTACGCAGGCAGGGTGCTTGGCCTTGCATGCGGCTGATTGGGGTTTGATCCCCAGCATCCTATATGGTTCTCAAGCACCAATAGAAGTGATTGCTGAATGCAGAGCCAGGAGTAACCCTTGACCATCGCTGGGTGCAGACCAAAAACTATAGGGAAAAACAATGAGAAGTGGGAGTGGCAGAATTGCATCAACTGGCCCTCTGCCATGCCCCCACCCCACCCCACCCCATCCCTAACCCAGAGAAAGCTTCTTTCACGCTTATGATCAGAGACTCTGCTGACCAAAAATGGCTGCTTCCACAAAATTTTCCTTCTTTCAGGGTCACCTCCGTTCTCTTGCACAAAGGTAAAGTTTGTCACATTAATATAATTGACAAATACAAGATTCTGATATAGTACTTACTTAAAGCTACAAATAATTACTGCCATTAACTTTTTTTTGCTTTTTGGGTCACACCTGGAGATGCATAGGGGTTACTCCTGACTCATGCACTCAGGAATTACTTCTGGTGGTGCTCGGGGGACCATATGGGTTGCTGGGAATCGAACCCGGGTTGGCCACGTGCAAAGCAAACACCTTACCCGCTGTGCTACACCTTACCCACTGTGCTATCGCTCCAGCCCCAGCCATAACTTTTGATGGCTTATTAACTTTTATAGCATGTAATACACAAAAGGTCTGAGATATAGTTCACAAGGGCTGGTGAACTGGCTCTGCATGTAAAAGCCTGGGATTCAGTCCAATACCACATGTATGGTCATCCAGAAGTGCCAGGTGTGGCCCCCAAACCAAACCAGAAAACCAAAAATATGCAAGCAAATGCCATTCAGGCTCTAAGTAAATGAGTATACAAGAAGGGCATGGGAAGAAAAGGCTACGGGAAGCACGGGTAGAAATACAAATAAAACTTTCTTTTGGAACTGAGAGATTGAAGACTAGCATGCACATTGTTGTATATGGCGTAGGATCATTCATTCCTTTCTCTGCTGAAAATTTACTGTGGAATATTTTTTTGCAGCATATGAATTTGTACCTTGTGTGTAACCACTACCCTGTTTGGCAAAAAAGAAGTATAAATCCTTGCATGGTTCCATATTGAACTTGTAAAGGTGGAGAAGTGTAAGGTTAGAAGAAAAAACTGGGGGGGTATGGTGCCGCCAGCAGGTCAATCTGTACCTCTGAGGCGAGTGCATCAGCAGCCTGATGGCGCCTTCAGACTTCCAGATACCCCAAAATTGCTGCTGTGCCTTTGGCCAGACCCCCAAAACTTGGGGCAAGTTTACCAAGAAAGCCAACTGCCAAAAGTTAAGTATGTGGGAGACACACCCACAAACCACCTCCAGCTCAGCTATATAATTGGAGGCACGGCCTCTCTGGTTCCTGATAGAACTGCTTAATGGCCATGATCCCAGAGACTCAAACAAATCTCGATACCCAACGGCTTTTGGCAGAAATGCGTCTGATCCCTGCAGTAGGTTACCGGCATCGGTCCACCCCAGGTGGGAACAGGTTTCATGCCTTGGCCTGTTCCCCCTGGCGGCTCAGTGGCCGTCATCCTCCAGAGGCCATTGGACAGTTGGGTTTGGGCCCACAGTGATGAGACACATGGGGCCTCACGGGATGGGGGTAGAGCTGGCCCTTTCCACCCATCCCAATGAGACCCCAAGTCATCACCCACAAACGGCCTCTCTGGCTCCTGATCAAGCTGCTTAATGGCCATGATCCCATAGACTCAGAAACAAATCTCGAAATCCAGCAGCTTTTGGCAGAAATGTCTCCGGACAGCACAGTAGGTTACTGTCACCAGGCCAACCCAGGGGGGAAAGGGTGCTGTCCCTCTGCCTGCTCCCCCTAGGCGGCTTGGTGGCCGCCATCTTCCAGAGGTCACTGGACAGTCAAGTTTGCACCCACAGTGACAAGACACTCGGGGCCTCACGGGATGGGGATAAAGCTGGCCCTTTCCTTCCCACCACAACAAGATCCCAAGTTACCACCCATGAACGGCTCTCTGGCTCCTGATCAAGCCGCTTAATGACCATAATCCCAGAGACTCAGAAACAAATCTCGGAACCCAATGGCTTTGGCAGAAATGCGTCCTGTTCGTGTAGTAAGTTACCAGCGCTGCGCCACCCCAGGTGGGAATAAGTTTCGTGCCTTGGCCTGTTCCCCTTGGCGGCTCGGTGACCGCAATCCTCGAGAGGCCACTGGACAGTCAGGTTTGGGCCCACAGTGACGAGGCACGCGGGGCCTCACAAGATAGGGGTGGGGGGGTCCGGCCCTTTCTATCCCGTCTCAACGAGATCCCAAGTCACCACCCACAAGCGGCCTCCACGGCTCCACGGCTCCTGATCAAGCTGCTTAATGGCCATGATCCCAGAGACTCAGAAACAAATCTCAGAACCCAGTGGCTTTGGGCAGAAATGCGTCTGGACCACACAGTAGGTTACTGTCACCGGGCTGCCCCAGGAAGGAAAGGTGCTGTCCCTCCGCCTGCTCCCCCTTGGCGGCTCGGTGGCTGCCATCTGCCAGAGGCCACTGGACAGTCAGGTTTGGGCCCTCAGTGACGAGACACGCAGGACCTCAAGGGATGGGGCTGGAGCCAGCCCTTTCCTCCCTGTCCCAACGAGACCCCAAGTCACTGCCCATGAACGGCCTTTCTGGCTCCTGATCAAGCTGCTTAATGGCCATGATCCCAGAGACTCAGGAACAAATCTTGGAACCCAGCAGGTTTTGGCAGATTTAATTGTTAAAACTTCAGAATTCCAATTCCTACTGTAGCCGTGCAACATCATATGTTATTAATAACCAGCAATAGAAAACAAATTGTGTAGTGTTGCCTTTTCAGCATATCTGAGTGTTGGGGTAAAAGTCCAAATAATAATGGTGGATCTGGGTCAAAATATTGAATGTAATCAAAGTAGAGAGAGAGTAATGTGGAAATCATCTGCCCCACAGGTAGGGGAAGGGTGTAGGATGGGGGTATACTGGGGTTTTTTGGTGGTGGAGAATGGGCACTGGTGAAGGTACGGGTGTTTCGTTGTATGACCGAGATTTAAACCCGAAAGCTTTGTAACAGCTCTCACGGTGATTCAATAAATAAAATTATAAAAAATGAAAAAAAAAAGAAGAAAAAACTGAAGTAGAAAATCCTTGGGAACTTCACAGTTAAGAATGATCTCAAGCATGAGTCATCAAAGAATGTTTAAAAACTACTGTGGCTAACAGGGTCAGAGAAACAGTACAGCAGTCAAGATGCTTGCCTTGCATGCAGGCTGGCAAGGTTTGATTTCTGGCACCCCATATGGTCCCCAAGCCCCACCAGGAGTGATCCCTGACGAAGGACAGGAGCCAGGAGTAAGTCCTGCATAACGCTGGGGATAGCCCCAGACACCAAAACCAAATACAGCAATTTAAAAATTCTTGCTAGAAGTCAAATTTAAATAACCAAATATTTACATAACTTCAAGATATCTTCTAGCAAGACACTTAATTGGTACAATGGGAAAACAGCAACTGTGCAGTAGAGAAAATGGACAGACCCCCATTTGAAGCAAGATAGAAGCTGACCTGGCCAGGAATGAGCCATGTATCTCCTGGAGGATGATGTTCTGAGAACCAGCACCATATCTGCTGAAATCCCGCCCCCGCAAATGTTTAGTCACAGAATCTAACCATTAAGAAACATTACATGAAAAAAATCCAAATGCAAGGCTTGAGGGCTGGAGCAATAGCACAGCGGTAGGGAGTTTGCCTTGCATACGGCTAACCTGGGCTTGATTCCCAGCATCCCATATGGTCCCCTGAGCACCGCCAGGGGTAATTCCTGAGTGCAGAGCCAGAAGTAACCCCTGTGCACCGCCAGGTGTGACAACCCCCTCCTCCCTCAAAAAAAAAAGAAAATGCGAGGCTGAAGAGAGAGAGTACAGGAGGCAAGGCTCTTGCCTTGCATGAGGTGGACCCAATTCAAACCACATGTGGTC